TTGAATTACCACGCGTGGAATTCCTACGCGTTATATTGCTACGCGTTATATTGCCACGCGCAATTACCACGCGTGGAATTCCTACGCGTTATATTGCCACGCGTTGAATTACCACGCGTGGAATTCCTACGCGTTATATTGCCACGCGTTGAATTACCACGCGTGGAATTCCTACGCGTTATATTGCCACGCGTTGAATTACCACGCGTGGAATTCCTACGCGTTATATTGCCACGCGTTGAATTACCACGCGTGGAATTCCTACGCATTAGATCGTCACACGTTAGACTGCCGCGTGATATATCGCCACATGATATATTGCCACTAGTTTTCGCACGTTATCTACCTCCTTTTTAATTAAAAGAAAAATAATTGAAGTTCGAAATTATGGCGAATAAAATTTTTCGCCGTTGTACGTTTCTTTCGGTCACGAAATCGTTTCTAATATTCTCCACTTCTGTTCGAGATTATCAACGGTTAATCGGCGTTAAGGATTTGATAAATCCCGTGGGTCATCGATAATGATGATTGGTCGACGCTCGTAGTTGTATGAAACTTCGAGATCGTCCAGATTGTCACGAAAGTGGACGAATACGCAATAATGTCGGGCGCGGTTCGGCCGAGTGACACGCGATATGATTGAAAGCAAAAAAGTATACAGGTTCTTTCGAAAAAGTACACCGTCGAAACTTTAGATCGTACACGATTAAGCGAATGTGGAAGCCCTTTATCGTCGATCGAGATACGAGCACGTAATGATCGACCTTTCGAAAGTTTCCGATTCGATTAGACGGAACGCTCTTCGTTCTTGAACGTGTTGCCACGCGTTATATTGCCACGTGTGCGATTTTTATGCGTTAAATTACTACAAGATTAATTGTCTCGCGTTATATTGCCACGCATTATATTGCCACGCGTGTCATTTCTGCGTATTAGATCGCAATGCGTTATATCACTGCGTGATATTGCCACGCGTGGAATTCCTACGCATTAGATCTCCACGCGTTGGATTACCACGCGTTATATCGCCACGCGTTATATTGCCACGCGTTATATCGCCACGCGTTATATTGCTACTCGTTATATTGCCACGCGTTGGATTACTACGCGTGGAATTCCTACGCATTAGATCGCCACATGTTGGATTACCACGCGTTATATCGCCACGCGTTATATCGCCACGCGTTATATTGCCACGCGTTATATTGCCACGCGTTATATTGCCACGCGTTGAATTACCACGCGTGAAATTCCTACGCACTATATTGCCACGCGTT